ATAATGCTCTCCAGTTTCATCCATGCTGTTGCAAATGGTAAGAGTTCCTTCTTTTTTACAGCAGCGTAGTATTCCATTGTGTAGATGTACCACAGTTTTCTAATCCATTCATCTGCTAATGGGCACTTAGGCTGTTTCCAAATCTTAGCTATGGCAAATTGTGCTGCTATGAACATAGGGGTGCATATATCCTTTCTGATTGGTATTTCTGGTTTCTTGGGATAAATTCCTAGAAGTGGGATCACTGGGTCAAATGGGAGTTCCATTTTTAACTTTTTGAGGGAACTCCATACCGTCTTCCATAGTGGCTTAGTTCTAGCAGCTTTGCCTGAGGTTCTTAATAGTCACTGCCCGAATTCACTTCTTCATATGCTCCTGAATTACAGAACTTGAGGCGTGTTTTCTATGTACCAGATTAAAACAATTTGTAATACAAAAAAGGGAGCCCCTTTGCCCCTTTGCCCTGATCCTGGAGCTGATCCTGGAGCTGCTGGTGCTGGAGCTGTTCCTGACCATCCTGCCCGGGAGCTGCAGGCCTGGGCACAGGAGCACTGTCCAGAGAGTGCTGAAGAGGCTGTCCCTCTCCTGGAAGACCTGGAGCAAGAACAGGATGAACCAGGACAGCAGGTTTCACCTCCTCCAAATGAACAGAAACAGGCATGGGAGAAAATGTCCTCTTCAGGAGCAGAATTTTTTAAAAGATGAAAATTGATATGTTAACAGATGGAATAAAAGAGAATCATATGCAATGCTCAAATGAAACCAGAAAAAGAGGGAAAAAAGAGGTGAATAAAGAAAAAAGGGCAAGTCAACAAATAGAAAACAATCACAAACAGGGTAGATAGTAATCCAAAGATATCAATCAATTTAATTATGAATGGCTTAAGTACACCAATGATAAGTGAGAGATAAGAGTTCATTAAAAGCAAGAATCATTATGTGCTGTCTATAAGAAACCCACTTTAAATACATTCCTAGAAGTGGGATCCCTGGGTCAAATGGCAGTTCCATATTTAATCTGTTGAGGAAACTCCATACTGTTTTCCATTGTGGCTGCACCAGTCTGCATGCCCACCAGCAGTATACTAGGGTTGCCTTTTCTCCACATCCTCACCAGAATGTGTCATTTGTTGATAGTAGCCATTTTGGAAGGTGTGAGGTGAAATACCTCATTGTCATTTTAATTTTTTTTTCCCCATTTAAAAAAATTGGATTGTTTGTCTTCCTTTTGTTAAGTTGTATGAATTCTTTATATATTTTGGAAATTAACCCCTTATCAGTATCATTGTTCTCCCATACAGTGAAGTCTCTTTTCATTTTGTTGATGGTTTCCTTTTCTGTGCAGCTTTTTATTTTAATGTAGTCCCATTTGTTTATCTTGCCCTAGAAGATGTATCTGTAAACAACAATCAGAAAGAATATATGCACCTCTATGTTCATAGCAGTGCTATTTACAATAACTAAATTCTGGGAATAGCCCAAGTGCCCATCAGTAGATGAGTGGTTAAAAAAGCTGTGGTACATTTACACCAGTGGTTCCCAAACTTATTTGGCCTACCGCCCCCTTTCCAGAAAAAATATTACTCAGCCCCTGGAAATTAATTTTTTTTTAAATTTTAATAGCAGTTACTCATCGCCCCCAAATGCACCTGTGGCCATCACCGCCCCCCCCTGGATCGCTGCAGCGCCTACCAGGGGGCAGTAGCGCCCCCTTTGGGAATCACTGATTTACACCATGGAATACTGTGCATTTGTAAAAAATAAGAATCTCTTACTCTTTGAGATAGCATGGAGGGACCTGGATAGTATTATGCTAAGTGAAATAAGCTATTCCGAGAAAGACAAGTATCACATGATCTCACTTATATGTGGAATCTAATGAGCAAAATAAACTGATAAACAAAATGGATCCAGAGACATGGAAGCATGGAACAGACTGACAAATCTCAGAGGGAAGGTAGGGGTGGGTGTTGTGGGAAGAGATTAAGCAAAGAATTTATATGTATATATGCATAATCCATTGACATAGACAATAGTGTGGTAAAGGCCTAGGAGGGGATGGGAATGGGGTAGATAAGGTAAATGGGGGGATAAAAGAGGGACATCTGTAATATTTTCAACAATAAAGATAAATTAAAATAAAAGTAAAGTGATGGAAAAAGATATACCATGCTAACACTTATCAAAAGAAAGTGGGCAGAGCTATATTAATTTCAGACAAAGGGGGCTACAGAAAAAGAAAATTATCAGGAGTAAATTGAGGCACTACAAAAAAGATAATGGGGTCAATTCCCAGGAATACATAACAATCCAACATATAGGCACCTAACACAGCATCAAAACAAGGGATGCTAAAATCATGGCAGAAAGAGGCATCCTTCTCTTCAGAACCAGTTTGTTGAAAGTGCAGCACAATCAAGATAGGGGGATAAAGCAACTACATTTCTTCCTCTTGTTCCTACAAACCTTCTCTATGGAAATAGGTCTTCTTCCCTTGTCCTCTGTCACTTTTTACAGCCCTAAAGAGTAAATAATATGTCCATCCAGGGAAATAATAAAAGCTCTGAAATTTAAAGATGTTTGGAGGCTTCCAGGCCTGACCTTCTGCATCTGAGAAGCCTACAGTGGGACAAGGACTCAGCCAACTTTTCTCCCTGCCCGTGTGTGGTTTCTGACATCTCCATGGTTGGAGATGAAAAGACAGAAGTATGGAAACAGAAGGCTCTCTCTCTCTCTTGACTGGCACTGAATGTACATTGGCTTTTACATGTATATTTCAGTGTACATTTACATGTACATGTCTAGGGCTGTAGGAGGGGTTTTGTGAATGTGATGGTTAATTTTATGTCTCAACTTGGCTAGGTCACTGTACCCAGATATTTGGTCAAATAGTCTGGATGTTGCTGTGAATGTAATTTTTAATGAAATCAACATTTAAGTCCATATACCTCGAGTAAAGCAGATTAACCTCCATTCAATTAGTTCCAAACATTAAGAGAAAAAAGACTGGCATGGCCCCAAGGAAGAGGGAATTCTGCCTCCAGACTGTCTTCAGACTCAAGCTGCAACATAAACTTTTTTTCTGGGTCTTCAACCTGCCAGCCTACCCTAAAGATTTTGGATTTGTCAGCTTCCACATAAGCCAATTTCTTCAACTGCATATATATGTTTTCTTTCTCTCTCTCTCTCTCTCTCTCTCTCTCTCTCTCTCTCTCTCTCTCTTTCTCTCTCTCGGCTAAAAGGGGCTAATTCAAATGTAACCCTGATATTTTGGGGGCTAGCAATTGGAATCCATGCCAGCAAGCTAACCTATAATTAAGTCATTACCTCCTTTCCCAGAAACTGGTCTTGCAGAACCTGTTACAGAGGCCATAAAACTGTGAACAGTTCACTGTCCCTGGAGGGAGGGTTATTAATGCTGGTGCCAGGCCAAACCATCAGATATGGCCTGGAGACCCCCAACACTTGGGGGCCTTCTTGCAAGGCCCACGAAAAGGACTGGAAGCATAATGCATATTTACGGGACAAAGACCACAGGGAGATATAAAAAGAAGCCCCCTGCATGTTTCGGCACTCAGATTTGGAAAGCTATTCCCTGGGTCCGCTGGTGTAATTAAACAGTGTCCCTCCATTTCTTTAAAGTGTCACTTGGTTTTCTTTGGTCTTCTGCAACATCTCTACTTTTTCTGTTGTTCCAGAGAATTCTGCATAATACAGTGGGATTTTCTGACATAGGCCCTTTGTGAGGATCCCCCACCTCTGGTTCACTGGCAAGGGTGATACATGTCTGCAGGGCCCCTTAAATCAGCCCCCTCAGTTGCTGCTTTTCAGTGTCCCTGTTTGAGCATCACCCTGGATAAAGTTCCTTTAAGAAAAATAACTCTAAGTTTGTTTGGTTGATATCCAGCTAGCTCTTCCCCCAAAAGACACACACACACACACACACCAGATTAATAGGAAAGTCCACATGGACAGGATAAAACACTAACAACATCACAATTTATACTTCGCTGTTACAGTCTGCTG